TTTTTGATTTTTATTTGAATTTTAAGGATTTAAAATGAATTAAATCAATAAAATTAAATAAAAATAGAAAAATTAATGTTTAATCTTGAAATTAATCATGGGACACGTGGGTGGCATGAAAAGGCTGAACCAAGTGGAAAAAAGTGGGCCCTTTTGTCAAAAAATGAAGTTTCAAGGATAGTTGACTTTTGCCATTTCACAAAAATTTCCCAACTTCTCCAATGCATATCTTGCTCAATTTTGATCATATGAACATGTTCTTGGACATTTTGGAAAGGTCTTGAAGTCCTCTAACCAATGCCTTTGGTCCCATGTCATTTGAATTTACCAATCTCAAGTTATGGTCTTTGACTTAAAGTGCCTTTTTGTTGACTTTTGAAAATGACCTATAATGTTGAAATTGATAACTTTTTGTGAGAGCATTTCTTGGATTTGGAATTTGAATATGAGTTGTAGAAAATGTCCTCCCCTTCAAAATGAGCATTGGATGGGATTTTTCTAATGAACCATGAAAAAGTTATGCCTTGGTCAAGTTACAGTTGACTTTTCAGCTGTCCAAAAATAGAAACTTTTGCATCTTGATGATTTTTGAGCCATTCTTGTGAAATCATGGTCAAGATTTGAACAAATGATGATTGTGGCTTCAAAATAAGATGTTGACCAAAAAAATTGACTTTTGACTGCCAAATGACCATTTTGCCCCTACAGTTGATTGTGAGGCAATTAGGGTTTTTGACTGTGCAACTTGACCTTGTGAGCCTTGAAACTTGGCATGTAGATACTTGACAATGTGTATGAGCATATGGGACTTGATTGAGCCCTTGAAAACCTCAACTTCCTTGCAGGAACCAAAACCCTAATTTGACTGGCTTAGGAGGGTGTTTGAACTGTGCAACCCTTGAGTAGACTTGAGCAAATTGAGATGATGCTTGTCAAAACTTTGAAGAATATGGGAGGGAAAATTTTGGGGTACAACAATCATCTTCAGCAAGTTACTGTGAAGCCTGGATTTCGACTAGATAACAGCTAACTTTCATTTCTCCAGTTAAGAGATAACTCCCCAGTAGAGTAATGGACAACTAAAGCTCCTAGACTCTATTCCCCAAACCGAAATCAACATTCCCCAGCGGAGTCCTTCTCAAACAACAAGAACAGGATTCCCCACAAAGAGACTTTGTATGGCTCAGAGTAAATCGACCAAAGATTTAGTCCGACGTTTCCTCCAGTTCGAAGTCAGCATTTATTTTGGATGGCATATATAAGCCCATCTCTGATGACTCTTCGTCATCTTCTCCAAATGGAATTTATAAGCCCATCTCTCCTTCCTCTATAAAAACAACATCATTTGCAAGCCAAAGACACGCATACATTGCCTCAGAAAAGCACACCAAAATTCTCAAAAATCTCATAAGTTATCAAAATTCAAAACTATCTTTGCAAGCTCCCTCAGTCCAAACAAATACTAGATTTGTGTTCCTGATACTCCCAGGACCCCATACCTGCCCTCATCCAAGCCTGAAGCACGCCCAAAAGTCACGTACCAAGCCAATCGGTCCTTGGTAAAATTCTGGATCATAACCCTTTGAATACATAATTTAAATTGATTTTGTGTGCATGTTTATGTTATTATGGATCATTGGGTTAAGTCTAACGTGCTACATGCGAGTTTTAGTGTTGAATCTGCAGGTTGTCATTGCTAGGGTTTGAAAATGTGGAAGCTTCAGTTTCAGAGATAGAGGCGTTTTTAGACCAAACTAAGGTCATGGTTGAACTCGTAGCCTAGGTTTTAGGGGGGTAAACAAAATTTCAGGCTTTGAATCTCTTTATTTGCAGGTTCCATTTTTTAGCATGCCGGAGAAGACGGTGGTCAATCACCGTATATGGTGGTTTGACCTCCCCGGAGCTGGCGTGGCAAAACAGCTCACTATGATACGTCCGTTCAAACACAGAGGGGCCCATCTCAGCGCGCGTGGATGACATCTCAGCATTTTATTTGGTCTAACATTATATTATTTTTGTTTGATATATGCTCTCGTATGTAAGGTCGTCCCAACGGTTGGGTGTGTGTGTGTTAAGGCGTTGTGTGTGTGAGAGGACAGAGGTTCAACCCCTGCCTCTTGCATATTATTTTTCCATTTACTCTATGCGGATTCAATGCTTTCGGGCTACGCACGCTCACCATGCACCATCAAGTCCATGCCATCAAATAAAAATCTGATCCAGATCCAACGCCCTGAGCGCATAGCCTCACCATGGACTCTCAAAACATGTCCCCACTAGATCTAATTGGCAGACTTTGGCTCCTCTCAATTGGGCCTACGCTTCTCAAACTTGTAAACCCCCCCCCCCCCCCCCCCTCAATTTCTTGCATTATCTTGGCCCATTTACATCTTTGTTTAATTTTTATTACTTCTTTTAATTTGTTTTTTTATTTAATCACAAAATAATTATAAAAATCACAGAAAAAAATAGATTTAGTCTTTTTAATTAAAATTAAATTTTTTAATTAATTATTTAATTACTTTAACTTTTTTTATTTAATTTATAATTAAATAGACTTAGATTAACTCATTTTCTTTTCATAATAAAAATACAAAAAAAATATGAATTTTTATTTCTTTTTAATTTTTTTTAGATCACACTTTTTTTTAATCTTAATTAAACATTGTTTCAAAATAAAACAAAATGACAAAAGATTTCCTTTCACTTAGGGTTTAGACGTTCTTATCCATTTCGCGTGCGTTTAATATTTCCCTTCTATTTTCATATTATTGTACTTGCTTATAGGATGTAATAGACAATAATTAGGACTTTTACTTTTACTTCTATATTTTCCCCAAGTTTTAGACTTGTAAATAACCCTCATTCCCGAAGCCTTGTAATAGCTAGATTTTACGTTTCTGCACTTTAAATTCCTGCAACTATTAAACTGTTTAGATGCATGATAAATAGGATTGTATGTGGCAAAAGATTAAAATCAAACGCTAGCAAAACTAATGCAAAGACAAAATAACTGAATACAACACGCTCTCACATATACACCTCTAGGGTATCCCCACTTCAGTTGCCTTCGGATTAGAACAGTCATAACTCTCGAAACGTGAGAGACTTTAGTGGTTATCCTCTGGTTTAAAAGATCAAAAATGACCCTCTCGATGTTGCCTCGGTATGATCTGAAAACCCTAGGGTAGTTACTAAGGTTTCTTGCCCAGTTGCCTTTATGACTATACGATGTCCCTTCGAATGTCCCTCAAACATCTGACGATAGGGCTGCCTACTCACTAATAGTAGGATAGCGCTGTCTAAAGAAACAGAGGAAAAGAACAGACCCTTTCGAGTAAAATAGATAGTTCTTAGATACTGGCTCAAAAATAATTTTTCACGTACACAAAACTCTTTACAAAAACATTTTCAAAAAACTTTGTATACGTTCTCAACAATACGAGAAACATTACAAAGTTTGTCGCACTAAGGCATCTTTTCAAAACCTTTTTCAAACACACAAAACACAAGGTATTTTCAAATGAGCTAGCATCTAAGAGCCCGTAGATAACTACGAATGGAAATGGTGCTAACACCTTTCATTTATTGGATAAAAGAAAAGTCGGTGGCGACTCTTGCTTACCGCAACATTTATGAATACAAATGCAAAACCAGTAAAGTCAGTTCTCCCACCATATTACACTATGGATCGACTTTGTACTGATTGTTTTTGTGGAATAATAAAATTATCTATTCTCCAACAATAATAATAATAATAATAATAATAATAATAATAATAATAATAATAATAATAATAATAATAATAATAATAATAATAATAATAATAATAATAATAATAATAATAATAATAATAATAATAATAATAATAATAATAATAATAATAATAATAATAATAATAATAATAATAATAATAATAATAATAATAATAATAATAATAATAATAATAATAATAATAATAATAATAATAATAATAATAATAATAATAATAAAAGCATGTTAAAAACTAATCATCCATTGATCTAATGATAAATAATTTGAGGCATTTATGCAAGTGGTGAAAAATTGAATCTATAATATTTGTGGCAACTGAATTTGTCACAAATATTAATCACACGATAGTGATTAAAACTTCATATCTATATTATATTTGAAAATATGTGTAAGGGCTAAGAAGATATTTCAGAGTTTTGCTCCCGGTGAAAAAAATTATTTTTTAGAAAATATCCCTTTTATCATGTGGATTCACGACTAAATTTTCATTAATAAGAAAATGCATGTCATCTGCCTTTAGTTGAAGGCTTGAGCCCTTAGAGATTAATAGACGGTGTGATTTGTCTTCTTAGATTAGTGGATTTTAAAAGTTAAAAATTAAAAATTAAAAAAAAAAAAACACACACACTTTTACTGCTGTTTCTTTCTTGTTACTGGCTTGATCATGGGCACATGTAGGCCTATATTTTGATCAACATGGAGGCACATGTAGCTCATAAAAACCGCCAAAAGGTGTTGGAAGTGCCTAACATCAACTGCCCAGCTCAAACTCATCTATTCTATGGACATCACTTCTACCTACATACATTATTGAAAATGGGGTGTCAAATGAGTTTGTAACGTGGAACCCAATTCCTTGCTAATGTTTGGTAGTCGATGTTGTTGAATTTTTTATGTGGACAAACAACATGATTGTTTTTGAAAACATAAACAGTCTCATATTTGGTAACCTACATAACCAACAATACTGTTGATACATGTATCAATGTTGGGTGCTTTTCCATTAAAACTGCCATTTGATTAATGGTAAAGCATTTGGACAATGATTTGATTTCTAGCAAGTGTAGGTTTCAAGTTCTGTTGTGTGCATTATTAAATTGTAAAATATTGTTTTTTCTCCAAGTAAAGGGAATCTAGGTATTATTCTTTAATAATACCACTGTTGAGTATTCTTTTTCTTTAATAGAGGAACTACCTATGTTCCATTCTCTTTCTTCAAAGCCTCAATGGAACAAGACTTCAACGTGTGGCTTTCTTTTTGTATGAATCAAAGTGTCAATCATGATTTCCCCATCAGAAGGTTTTGTCCTGCAAGAATGGAGCAAGAGATAGTGCTCGATGATAATGAATTGTGTACTTTTGATGCCACCACCACTTCTTGTCTATTAGCTTCTTCAGAACTTGATGCCTTTGTTGATAGCTTCATCGACATGGATCAGTATGAAGATAGTGAGTCTCAAGAAAAGAACCATCATCAAAGTTTTGACCATTTTCTGGTCAATGAAGAAAATAATATCAATGCATACTCCATGGAGGTGAATGATGTTATTGGATATGTTCCAACAACAATCACAGATCACGTTATTCAAAAGTGTGTGCCTTGTCAAGAACAAATCAGTTTTCAAATGGACCAAGGCCTTGACTTGGTCCATACTTTACTGGCTTGTGCCGAAGCGGTTGGTTGCAGAGACAACCATCAAGCAAATTTATTACTTAGTAAGCTTATGTCTCTGGCAAATCCATCAGGAGATTCATTGCAAAGAGTGTCTTACTTTTTTGCCAAAGGATTGAAGTGTAGGTTATCACTTTATCCTTATAATGCATTTTCAAATACTACACTAACAAGTGCTTCTAATGATGTTTGTTTGATTACTAGGGAGAATAAGTTGGAAGCTTTTCAGCTTCTTTACCAAACAACACCATATATTACTTTTTGTTTCATGGCTGCAAATGAAGCTATATGTCAAGCATCAAAAGGAAAAAGCTCAATTCACATTATTGATCTAGGAATGGAGCATACTTTTCAATGGCCTTCACTTATAAGGAACCTCGCTTCAATGCCTGACGGGCCTCCAAAGCTCGTGATAACAGGATTCGGTTCTTCTAACAAAGACAACAACAATGTGAAACTTCATACTAGCATGAGTTTGCTTGTGGAGGAAGCAATCTCATTGGGAATAGTCCTTGAGTTCCGCATTATATCGGAACCTGCCACTCCTTCTTCTCTTACAATGGAGAACCTCAAGTTGGTAGAAGGTGAGGCTTTAGTTTTTAATAGCATCTTAAAATTGCACAAATATGTGAAAGAAAGTAGAGGTTTTCTAAAGGCAATTCTGCAATCAATGAAGAAGTTAAATCCAATTGCAGTGACAGTTGTTGAGCAAGACACAAACCACAATGGGCCATTCTTCGTTGGTAGGTTTTTGGAATCACTTCACTATTACTCGGCAGTATTTGATTCTCTTGAGGCAAGTATGGCAAGAAATAGTCGAATTAGGATGAAAATAGAGAGAGTACACTTTGCAGAAGAAATTTGTAATGTTGTTGGTTATGAGGGTCCTGATAGAATGGAGAGACATGAAAGAGTAGATCAATGGAGAAGACAATTAGGAAGAGCAGGATTTCATGTTATGCCACTAAAGTGTACAAGTCAATTTAGAATGATGCTTTCTGTTTATGATTGTCATGGATATACACTGTCATGTGAAAAGGGTTGCCTTTTACTTGGTTGGAAAGGAAGACCTATTATGATGGCTTCTGCTTGGCAAGTTTGTCATAAACAGATATGATGGCTTCTGCTTGGCAAGTGGCAGGTTTGTCATAAACAGGATAATGGAAATTGATTTGGTGCAGTATCACAAATCCAAATTGTTTATTACATGTGTAGTTTAATTTTTTAGATTTTGGTGAAAACATTAATTAAATATACTGTAATATTCTCTTTATTAAATTTAATAGAATATTAAATGATTTAGTAATAATTGACTTTTACTTGTAATAATGACTGAAAATTAAAACATTTTTGTTATTTATAAATATGTCTGGAAAGTGTACTTGAGAATCCAAATCCAAGAAAAAGAGAGTAGAATGATAATGCACTTATAAATTTGTTTCTTTCAACATCTAATTCAATTTAGATAGTTATTTCTGATTGAATTTCTTCATCGTGTATTTCAGTCTCAAACTGCATATGGTATTTAATAGGATGTTAAAATAATAGAAACTCTTAGTGAGCAGTTTCATAGAAATGGTCTTTCATAACACATCCAGTTTTCCATATTGGCCTATTTGATAAGCAATCACTTAGAAATAGGGGACCAAACTAAAAATAATTATATTTGTGAATTGACAATAGTATTGAGACAAAAAAATGAATTAGCTTATCATTTTTTACTGACTATCATATAAATAGAGATGTCAGCCCCATTCCAAGTGAATCATAAAAATAAGATAGAGCAATCAGAAATGAAAATGACAACTTTGCACGTGTTTCGGAGCATTGGCACCTTACCTACAAATAGTATTAGATTAATCTATTAGAAGAAAAAAATATCAAAACCTAAAGGTTAGCAAAAGCCCTGGTATAACTAACTAACTTGGAGTACCATTAAATAAATTAAATTTGACATCTTGAATAGCGATAATAATGCTATCTTCAACTCTCATTTAGATGCTTTGTTTCCCTGTGCGGCTGTCTTCGACTCATTTAGATGGTTTGTTTCCCAGGCCGTCTGCGGACATTATGCGCAACCGACTTGCAATTTCTGTGAAAGAAGGCCTGACCACAGGATTCGGCGCCCAACATTGTTCCATCAGTGTTCTCCATTCGAGATCACAGTGGCTTGGAATGGTTGGCCTCAATGTGTTATTTACAATCCCACCTGCATGCAGAGGAGACCAATATTAATGACAACTAATACTAACTTCATCGGCTATAATAAAATAGACTAGCTGAATGAATGATTTCTTATATTGACTTGATGTTATATGAGAAATATTGAAAAATGATACTCTTCACCAGAGTAGTCAATCCCGGATAGCAGCGCAAAGCAGCCGGGCCCAAAAGTGAGATAGCGGGAAAATCCCAAATAGCGGCGCAAAGCAGCCAGGCCCAAAAGTGAGATAGCGGGATGACCACTATTTGATAATTAAACAAATAACTCAAAACCAATAATCTCTATGGGCCGGGAACCGCTCGGTTATGCTATCCCGCTATTTACCCTATAGTGGCCGCTATAGTGTTCTGCAGCGTTAAGGCTCTTGCCATAGAGGTTAGCCTCTGCCTTGTTCCATGCTAAAGCACCGCTATTGACTACTTTGCTCTTCAACATATCACAGACTCTAAATTCCTCTTTTCCAATCCAATTAAACATGAGAGAATGTTCTATTTTTGTTTCTTTATTTTCCCTCCATCCATTTTTTTGAATAAAACGAAGGAAAAACAAATATGAACACAGAATGACTTTATTCCACCATCTAATGTGTTGATGCTTTTCAATATAAAGAGGAAACCATTTTAAAATGATGCAAAAGACTACAAAATCAAATTGTTCTTCAACATAAAATAAAAAGGCAAGCATGAGAACATAATATTACCTATAATTGCACCATAGTGCATATTGGCATATGGCTCCTCACCAGTTAAAATTTCCCATAAAACTATGCCAAAGGAGAACACGTCAACCTACAAGATCAAAATGCAAATCCAGCAATCAATAGCAGCAACCCCGCAAGAAGGCTTTAAAACAGACATAGAAAACAAAATAAGACTTCCCTTGCCAGTTATTTTTGGCGGTAAAGTCCAAATATAACATATGAACATAGATTTTCATCAGTAATAAAATGAAATAGGAAAGTTTGAATGTGCAAAATTATAAATGGTCAAATTAACATGATTATATTTCAAAATTTAAGTAAATGAAGATAATAATTGTATTTCCAGAATTTGAGTAAAATGAACATAATTATATTTTCAAAAATTGAGAATGAACATTATTATGTTTCCAAAAGTTCCGAGTATTAGAGAGTTTTGTGGCTATATGAAATGAAAGAAATTCCAAAATCAAGGAGAGACTCAATACAATTATGAGGAAGTGAAAAATGTCATAAAAAGTGGATTTGAGATAATTTCAAATTTCCCTAGTAGATATAGATTGGAGAAAACCATTTCATTAGAGATAACTTAGAAGATTACCTTTTCTGAGACCTTGCTGCTGCTTCCATTCAGCAGCTCTGGCGCCATCCAAGGTAGAGTGCCCCGCACGCCACCAGTAACCAAGGTATTTCGTTTAATTTTTGACAAGCCAAAATCACCAACCTGGGAAAGAAATTTTGTGTTTCTTTTTAACACCGAAAAATTGTGATACATCAAGTTCATAGATTTACACCAGTACCGATACCTTGCATATTGGCCGCAAAGGATCTTTCAAGTTTACAAGCAAATTGTCGCATTTTAAGTCGAAATGCACAATGTTTTTTGAGTGTAAATATTCCATTCCAAAAGCTGCATCCATTGCAATTATCAGCCTTTTGCGACGATCAAGACACCTAAAAATATCATGTTCAGATTCATAAGAATACTCATCAGTAAACAAGACATCATATTCATCACTTGAACATTTTTGCAGATACATTAAACTTTACATAGTGATGCCTTCTATCCAATAAAAAAAGCTTATTATAGAAACAAGTTTTCATCAAATTTGATCCGCTTGTAAATGTTGATCTTGTAGTAGTGCTACACGGTAATAGAAATGAAAAATTATTTTAAATGCATTACCTATCCTTTCGAAGTAATACGTGCCTAAGAGAACCATCCACCATGAATTCTGTAACAGTAGCCACTGTTCCTCCCGGTCCATCCTGTACCACACCGTAAAATGCAACCACATTTGGATGATGAAGCTTTGAAAGAATGTCAGCTTCTCGCCAGAACTCTGCAGTCTGAGAAAAGATGCAAATATAACTTTACTTGCCTCAAAATATATAGCTTATCATTACATAACTTTCTAATATGATAACAGTAAAAAACATTCTCTGTTTCATTTTAAAGGAAAAGAAAATAGCACAAGCAATCAAATGGACATTGAATGACAAATTACCAGTCTCTCTTGCTCAGATGATCGACCAGTGAAGCAACTCTTCTTTATTCTTTTGATAGCAACATCTGTTCCTCTCCATTTTCCATGATAAACAGTCCCAAATGTACCAGAACCCAGTTCCTTTAGCTCTTCAAGATCTTCATTCTTAATGACCTACCAATTGCATCAAAACAATAAAATAAACAAGCTAAAGATATTCAGGTAAACATTCAAACATAGTAGTATACACATGTGGAATCTATGAAGTTCATAAAAAAATATATATGTTGATATTTGTGAATATATAATGTTAAGAATATTTGTATGTAGAATAGTCTCACATCGTTTATATAGTGTCCGTAGTGCTTTCATGACACACAGTTTAACCTAAATGTCTCTTAGTCTCTCCTAATTCAATATAGTATCTAGAGTCTTCTAAGAGACAATTCTTCGCCGTGTTTTACCGGGTTGACCCACTTTCTTCCGGTGAGAAATTTTCTTCTGCAAACCGTGTCATCATTCCGGTTTGTCTCACCTTTTTTTTTTCCAGCGACCTCTGTCAAGCACTGTTCACCACTGCCGCATTGTTCACTGCCGCCGCTACTGTTCACGAAAAAAAAAATTTGAGGATTTTCTCAGGTGGTGTCAGACTAACCAAACCTCTGGTTCCACGGATTCAATTGCACATACTGGTAATTCATCTGTTTGCGCCTCTCAATCATCTCCTCTTGGTCCTTGGGTCCTCGACTCTAGTGTGTCTGATCATGTTACCGGTAATAAAAAACTTTTCTCATCCTTTTCTACCTCTGGTTTCTTACCGAGTATAACTGCCGCAAATAGTTCTCAAACCCGATCCCATGGGATCGGTACTGTTCAAATTCTACCATCTCTCTTTGTTACTTTTGTCCTATATGTACCTAATTGCCCATTTAATCTACTGTCAGTCAGTCGTTTAACTCGTTCCCTTAATTGTTCTATCACTTTTACTAATAGTGATGTTATTCTGCAGAATCGAAGTTCGGGACAGACGATTGGCGTCAGATGTGAGTCTCAAGGCCTCTACTGCTTCTCTACGTCATCTACCACATGCTCCACCACAAATTCTCCACTCATTATACATGCGCAGTTAGGTCATCCAATTCTTCCCAAGCTACAAAAGTTGGTGCCCAGTTTATCTAAATTATCCACTTTACAGTGTGAGTCTTGTCAATTAGGGAAACATACTCGTAGTCACTTTCCTGATCGAGTCAATAAACGGGTTGCGTCTCCTTTTGCTTTAGTTCACTCCGATGTTTGGGGTCCATCGCGTACTGTGTCTACTTTTGAGTCTAGGTATTTTGTAACATTTATTGATGATTTTTCACGTTGCACGTGGCTATTTTTAATGAAAAACAGATCTGAATTATTTTCTATTTTTGAACAATTTTATCGAGAAATAAGAACCCAATTTGGTTTATCCATTCGTACCTTAAGAAGTGACAATGCACGTGAATACTTATCCCAACAATTTCAAACTTTTATGTCATCTAATGGTATTCTACACCAAACATCTTGTCCTCATACACCTCAACAAAACGGGATAGCCGAACGCAAAAACCGACATCTCGTAGAAACCACTCGGACTCTACTTCTCCATGGTAATGTCCCTCTCAGATTTTGAGGGGATGTTGTGCTCACGGCGTGTTATCTCATAAATCGCATGCCCTCATCTGTCCTTAATAATAAAATCCCTCATTCAATCTTGTTTCCAAACTCTCCTCTTCATCCAATTCCTCCTCGAGTCTTCGGATCTACATGTTTTGTGCATAATCTCTCCTCTGGTCTTGATAAACTATCAGCTCGATCACTAAAGTGTGTCTTTCTTGGTTATCATCGATCCCAAAAGGGTTATCGTTGCTACTCACACACTCTGCAATGATACCTGATATCGGCCGATGTTACCTTCTTCGAGTCTGTGTCATATTTTGCGTCCACCCAAGTCACTCTGAAACCCCTTCAGGAAAGTACTCCCACACCTCTTCCGGACGTCCCATTTCTCATTATTCTCCATCATTCTAGGGAACCTATCCCACGAGAAACCCATATGGTTGACCCCCCCACTTCTCGCCCACTTCAAACATATCAGCGTCGTAAACCAACGTCTGTCATACCTGTCCCTGAGGTTGTACATGTCCCTGAGGTCGTACCTGTCCCTGAGGTCATTGCAGACTCTCCTCCGACGCTATCGCCATCACCGGATTCAATCCTGCAACCTGAGTCTGATCTTCCGATTGCCCTTCGCAGAGGTATACGTCAAACACGAAATCCTTCTCCACATTATATTGATTTATGTTATCATCGTCTTTCTCCTTTGCAGTATACTTGTTTGTCCTCTTTGTCTTCTGTTTCTATTCCTAAATCTCCAGGTGAAGTATTATCTCACCCTGAGTCGAGGCAAGCAATGATTGATGAAATGTGTGCTCTTCAAAGCAGTGGTACCTGGGAACTGGTTCCTCTACCCACTGGGAAATCTTTAGTAGGTTGTCGTTGGCTTTATACAGTGAAGGTTGGTCCAGATGGTAAGATTGATCGTTTTAAAGCTCGCTTGGTAGCTAAGGGATACACTCAGATTTTTGGGTTGGATTATAGTGATACCTTCTCGCCTGTAGCCAAGATGGAATTTGTTAGACTTCTTCTAGTCATTCAACATTGGCCTCTTCATCAACTTGACAACAAAAATGCATTTTTACATGGTGATCTTGAAGAGGAAGTATATATGGAGCAACCACCTGGGTTTGTTGCTCAGGGGGAGTCGTCGAATATGGTTTGTAGGCTACACAGGTCTCTTTATGGTCTTAAGCAATCTCCGAGAGCTTGGTTTGGCAGATTCAGCACTGTAGTACAACAATTTGGTATGGTTCGTAGTGAAGCTGATCATTATGTCTTTTATCGTCACTTAGTACAAGGGTGTATTTATCTTATTGTGTATGTAGATGATATTGTCATAACTGGTAGTGATGAGTCGGGAATACTCCAGTTGAAACAACATCTTTCAAATCAATTTCAGACAAAGGATCTTGGTAAACTCCGGTATTTCTTGGGTATTGAGGTAGCCCAATCTAAAGATGGTTTGGTGATTTCTCAGCGGAAATATGCTATGGATATTTTGGAAGAAACAGGTTTGTTGAACGCTAAACCAGTTGATACTCCTATGGATCCAAGTGTCAAACTACTACCTAATCAGGGGGAGCCTCTATCAGACTCGGGAAGGTATAGGAGATTGGTTGGAAAGTTGAATTATCTCACAGTCACTCGTCCAGACATTTCTTTTGCAGTCAGTGTGGTAAGTCAGTTCTTAAATTTCCCTTGTCAGGAACACATGGATGTTGTTATCCGGATTCTAAGATACATCAAATGTGCTCCAGAAAAAGGTTTAGTGTATGAAGATATGACATACTCAGATAGTTGGATACTCTGATGCTGATTGGGCAGGGTCACCAATTGATAGACGATCCACCTCTGGGTATTGTGTACTTGTTGGAGGAAATCTTATATCCTGGAAAAGTAAGAAACAAAATGTAGTTGCAAGATCAAGCGTCGAGGTAGAGTATAGAGTCATGGCAATGACAACATGTGAACTCATTTGGTTAAAACAGTTGCTCAAAGAACTTAAAATTGAAGAAGCAAGACCAATGACACTTGTATGTGATAATCAAGCTGCATTGCACATTGCTTCAAATTCAGTCTTCCATGAGAGGACCAAACATATTGAGATAGACTGTCACTTTGTCAGAGAGAAGATCGAATCTGACGACATCGTCACAAACATTGTCAACTCTAATGATCGAATCTAGCGAAATGTCTCTTAGTCTCTCCTAATTCAATAATATAAAACAGATCAATCATACTACTAACATAAACAACACAACGTCAAATGAGTATGAGAGGACAGTAGTCTAAAACAGCATATCATGACCAAGAGCGTGATTTATTTTTTTTGAAGAAAAAAGGATATGCTTGAGCTTACTAGCTTACTAAACCAGCCACATGCCATTTATTGTAAGCATTTGATTTATGAGCAGTTAAACACCTCTCATGCCATTTAACTGTTGCAATTAGGCTTCCTGAATCACAACTCGATATTTTCAATTTGCATCTATAAAATTCTCCAATTTTCACAAGCTAAAAAATTAATTACACAATTATTTGGACCCAAAAAATGTCTCAATCATGCCAAAGAGATCTACAAGACTTATAAAAACAGAATCGATCTAAGAGACATTTTACTTTTGGAACTACAACTGAGACCATGCTGCCTGTTAACCCTAAGAAACACAAGTCCCATGAGCATGTTTGGCCTCACACCATTGCTCATTTTTCCACAGCACTCTTATATTTAAATCCATATTCAAAGGCATTTTGACAGACCTCGTCACACATTGCAAAAAATTAAGTATTTAAAACCCAACTGAGACTCATGTTTGGTGCTTCTATACCTTGTTTTGGGATGAAAATTTCAAAACATATTGACGATAAGATGAAACCAACTACTAATAATTCATTAAGAGAATAGAAAGCAATGGTCTTAGGGTGTGTTGCAGAGACAGTGTGAACATGTGAAGTTGGAAAAGACACAGAGATAAAATGTAATGCAATTCTTGACAAATTGAAAGTTACTTTGCATCTTCTTTCCAATATTATAAATAGGTTCAGTTCTTTAAAGGAAATATATTCTACGTAAATTTTAGTAATTTATCTTTAAAGAGTTTGCAATGCAAACATAGTTTTTGTAAGTAATAATATAAAACAACAACAAATATTCTAGTAGTAGTGCAAATGATACATTAAAAATAAATAGAAATATCGAATATTCAATATATTTAAAATGTTTATACACACACATAACATTTAAGTATTGCCGCCATACCCATATCCTATTTTTTTTTTCTAAAATTGTTATTATATTTGTAAATCATATCCTATCCTACTTGTGCCTGTTCAACAACATGAAAAGTAAAAGAAACAGGCACGAATTTAGCAGCAGGTGAAAATATTTTTTTTGGAGGGGAGTTTATTTTGCTGAAAACGTAAAAAGTTATACCTTCAATGCTGGATAAACGGAAGATTTCTTAATACAATACGCCTAAACTCATTAAAGGCATACTTAGTGCATTATCAAAGTAGATTAGGAATTTCTACAGAGACGAAAACCCAATCAAATAAGAATGTTCGAGGGAAAGAATGAGACTTTACCTGCACAGAACTGATATCAAAATCTCCCGAAGAAGGATCAAATGGAGGTAGATTACAGTTTTTGGTTTCAAACTTGTCATCCTAAGTTAAAGCATAAGAACTATTGTCAGCGGAAAAGCATATCTGGACAGATACTCAAATAAAAAATAATTAAAATCATACCTCATATTCAAACTGCATACTTTTGGTGTCAGTGAGCTGGGATTGATCATAGTTGGACTTCAGAGCATGGGTTTCCATTCCAATCCTTCTATGTAAGTCCTGATTTTCTTCACCAAAATTAGGGTTGGAATCCTCACGATCTAGAGGAAATCTATCAGTTGTTAGAGGTGTAACATGATGTGAAAAACCAAGATGATCTTGATCAATAAGAGAAACATTGTCAAGCCCTTGTGCCAGCTTTCCAAAATACGACCAACTTTTAGGTTCGTGATTTTCCATATTTACACTATAGGCTACTCCATCTGCGGATAGAGGATGCAGATTGGAGGAGTCTTCTTCAAGTATTGCTTTAGAGTACATATCAGAAAGCAATTCACGGGGGAATCGATCATCGATATCAATTAGAATGTCACCTGGTATTTGCTTGGAAACATTAGGGCGGAAATCTTGAGAAACACCTTTGGTTATGTTCCCAGCTAAAGAAGCAGGTAGTTCTTGCACCACAGGATTATCATTAGATTCCTTCCCATAGGCCTCACCCCAATCAATCTCTGGAAGATTGGATGCAATAACATCAAGGCGCTCAACAGAAGAAACATGGTGAACAACAGGTAGATCTGATTTACCATATTTAGTTTCGGTTTCATCAAACAAGGGCTTGATATGATTATCTTTAGTTTCCACGTCTTTAATTCCTTCATTACTCAACAAGACTTGCTTCAACTCAGGATACATGTGCTCAGACAGGTTAGACTTTATCTCACTGTTTGTATCAAGCAACGGTTTATTCATTTGATGGCTGGCAAACCCATTGTCAATGGTATGGTCATCTTCAGGAAAGGGCTTTGCTGAAATACTTGATTTGTCATCTGGATCTAACAGATTACCATCATGTAAGTTGTCACCAGATTCTGTTACTGGATCCTCTGCCTTGGTATCAGAAAGCAAATCTGACACATTAAACTGCGAGCTGTGTGCATCATCTGACTTTGAGGACCGATTCAGGACCTCTACTTGCTCCCTCGGAGTTCTTTCTGAACAGTAAAATCTTTTAGGAATTGGAGGGGGGTGAAGAGAACTCAAATCAATTGCATTGGAGTGGGAATCAACATAATTAGGAGCAAATGAATTGCTAGATGTAGAAGAAGCATTACAATCCTGGTGCTGAACTTTTTTTGTGCAAGGGAGCGAAGGTAGATGCCCCTCAGGCATGGTAACCGCAGCTGATGCTTCAGGACCATTGTTTTTCAAGTAACCATCAATGGGCTGAAACGGAGACGGGGATGGGATTTCCAAGGATAGAACGTCGCCGTGGTCACTCCCTTGTTTGCTTGAATTTTCACTTATTGTTTTCACCTGCAAGGTAGATGGTTCGGATTTTTGTACTTGTACTCCCCTAGGTGGATGGTCTTCATTCAGAATCCCTGATTGATTGTTCAAAAGATGAGGAGCCAGAGAAATGGGGGTCTCTCCAACCACAAGGTTATGAGAGGGATGAAGAGCGCGGTGGTGAATAGGATATTGACAACTAATTTCTGCAGCTTGCGCCATTTGGTCACCGTTAGTCAGCCAACCAGTTTCATAAACATTTGAAGATGTCGGTAATAGTTGTTGTGAAGACTGGGTAGCCAATGGAGTGTCAGATTTGCCAGTCAAGGGAGCATCTGTGACACCTATAGACGTTGGTAATGCTTGCTGTGAAGACTGGGTGGCCAATGTAGTGTCATATTTGTTAGTCAAGGGAGCATTCCTAACACCTATAGACGTTGGTAATCCTTGCTGGGAAGACTGGGTAGGTAATGGAGTGTCAGATTTGTTAGTCAAAGGAGTATTCTTGAAACGTATAGATTCTACAGCAACATTACTAGTGTCCGTTTGGATAGTTTTTGTGTTAAATTTATGTATGTCATTGTTTGAAATGCTGACACCAAGTGGGGTTGAGGTGGTTCTTGAGCCCGAGTCCATACCATTAACAGCAACAACATACTGGACCTGAGAATCACCACCAATGGTACTAAGAGCGAACTGAGCATCTTGTAAATCAGTGATTGAGAACAAAAAAATCCTAAGCTTTTGCGGGGGTTCTGTATCCTCTATATGGTTATACTCCTCCATCATATTCTGTAAATCCTCATCAGATGATACAGATACCAAAGCATCGAGATCTTCCCCAGGAAGTTGATACTTGAGTATATGAACCAGATTGTAGATTAAGAATGCTCTACGCCAAAGGTCCGGCCAAGATATGTCCTTTCTGAAACGAAGAATACGTGTCTGACCCCCGACATACCTTAGTTTTCCATCACTTGGTCTTGGTAATATTCTACCACCAAAACTACAAAGACACTTGATCATGGTTGATGAGGTATCGGAAGCAGCGTAAGAAGCATAGCCTTGCCCAAATTGAGCAGTCTGTTGATTGAAGGAAGTTTTTGGTGGTGATGGAATTGAGCCATGTAACCATGCAGTTTGGCTGTTAAACTGTGTTGAAGCTTTGTCAAGCCCTGCATGAGTGATGCCTACAATGGGTTTGAGGTCCATAGCATTAGTTGTAGAATTGGAGTGAGTGAGATTTAGCCTGTCTCTCATAAATTCAAGAGCAAATTCCTCACCAGTCTGTATTGAATAATTGAGTACTGGTTTAACGTCTGATTGTGTTCTATTAGGGTACATGGTGTCGAGATAGTCCTGCATTACTGACTGAGATCCATGGTCATTTCTTGATTGTTCCATCATGCCATATTTTTTTGTCTTTACAAGAGAATAATAGTGAATGAGTACTAAAAAAGTTGCAGTAATTAAATTAAATGCATGCATTTGAATATGGTAGTGAATTTGATTCTCATAATAATCTTAAAATAACATAAACTTAGGGTTCTCTAAACAAAAATATAGACATAATTAATAACATTCGAAGTTTGAGATATAAAAAAAAAAAGCATAAACCCTTAACAACAAGATTTAGAAACAAGAAAATGAATGTTTGTACCTGATGATGGTAACACAATGGTTGAAACAGAGATTTCAGCGTTTGGAATCTCTATTACTTTGCCCCATCACGCTATCTTTAGGGAACTCTCAATATGTTTTTTTCCCGGAAAATGACGCCACTTGAACTTTCTCTCTCCAAAACAATGGGGAACACGCCACTTGAACTTTCTCCCTCTAAAACAATGGGGAACACGCCACTTGAACTTTCTCTCTCTAAAAATTGCTCTGTTTCTTTCTGCGCCGTCTTTCCGGAACTGCCTTGTATTCTAGTCATTCTTTTTATAATATTTGCATCTAATCTAACCGTGTTTTTATTATAACCATCTATAGTATGTATTGGGTATTCCTTAGAGTATGTATAAGGGGGTGTTTAAAGAATTATTCGAAAGTTGAATAGATAGAATAAGATATTAAATAAAAAGTTGAAAGTGAACTGAATTAATTAATGTTGAAAATATTTAATATATTGAATAAGGAGTAAATAAAAATAGAATTATATATAATATTTTTTAAAATTTTATTGATTATTGAGATTGTTTAAATTTTTAATTCATCTTCATTATTTAAAATTATTTATTTTATAATAAATCAATTTTTTATTTTCATCAAAATTCATCATTTTTTTTTGCCTATGAATATATATATTTGATTTATTTAATTTGGACACACAAAAAATATCACTTTTCTCTCTATTTTTTTATTTAATCTCCAATAAACTCTTGTTTTATACACTTTTATTTATTTTAATAATGACTATCCCTATAAAATTAAAAAAAACTCAAATAAATTAAGAATATAAGATTAGAAAAATATCCAAATAAATTATTAAATTAAAAAAAATTAAAAAAAAATTTAAATCTTAATTATTTTAATTTTATTTCAATCGATAATTGATATTAGTATAAAGTCATAAAAATCATAAAAATATAAATATAAAGAAAATAAAAATATGAAATAAAAATGGTGGGATGGAGTATTGAATTTTATTAAACAAAATTATCGTAGCAAATAAAAGTTGAATGAGTGTTAAATTATTAAGTAGAAGAAAGAGAAGATGATGTGGAATATAAAAAATAAAAAAGAAGGGTGTTGAATATGTAAAATATTGTAAATAGTAGAATCAATTATCAATAAAATAACATTAATTAAAAATGTATTAAAACAATTCACTTTTTTAGATTTTTTTCAAATAACAATAACATTTATTAAAATATCTAATTAAAATTTCTTAGTGCCCTAACTAATCATATTTTTCTTGAGTAATAACAGGTGCAGGTTTCATTAAAGGTTGTGAATCAGTTGTGTCAGAAGTAGTTTGGACATTTAGTGAGAAAATGGTTTGAGCATTAGCAACTGATGAGTTCTTGTGAACTAGAGAGGAGTCGTTCTTTTGATAGCAAAATTCAATGGTGTGTCTTTGTTTGTTGCAATTTGTGCAAAATATAGAATTTCTTTTGCTTAATGAATCTCTACTTATACCATAGCTTCTTTTGGCATTAAAAGCATTTGTCAACAAATTTGAAGTGTTAAGATTATTTGGGAATCGTGTTACTTTCTTGTTAAGCAACTAATGAGTAAATTTAATTGATGGATGTAAGAGTTTCAAGTAATAGATCTTGAGTCTTCACAACTGAAAAACTATCATTCACACCAGTCAAGAATTGAATAGTTTGGTCCTCAAGAACGTATGATCTTGCTGAACGCATAACTTCAAATCTACATTTATGGTAACAAGTACACGATGGGACAGGCATGTGTACACTCAATTCATCCCATAATGTTTTCATTTCCATGAAGTATTCAAGAATAATTTTAGAATCTTTATTCATGGAATTAAGTTTGGATCTAAGAGTTGAAACTCAAATTCTATCAATCTTTGAGAATCTTTCTTTCAAGTCATCCCAAACTTCTATTACATTGTCATGATATAAAATTGTTTGAACAATAGATTCGAAAATATAATTTATGATCCAAGAGTGTATCAAATGGTTACATCATTCCCAATATGATCGGTTAAGATCATCATCATCTGGTACAAGTAATTAGTGATCAACCATGGAAAGCTTGTCCTTTGCACCAAGAGCTCTCTACATGGATCTGTTCCAACCAGCATAATTGGTGGCATCAAGTTTAAGGGTGACTGTGACTAAATTCGGGTCATCGCTTGGGTAAACATAGTAATTAGAATCGAGTTAAGGTCGAATTGGATTGATATTTGCATTGTGAGGTGGCATGTAGGATTAGAGAATGGATGAGCAACAATCCATAAGATGTTATTGGAACAAAATTGGTTTGTACCATATCCTAAAGAATAATTAAGTATACTAATATATGTTCAAGTGTGCAGAAACATATATTAAAATTCAAATACAAAGTCAGTTCTAACACTGCATTGAACATTCAAAGAGAAGTCTTAAGATGCAGATTCTGAAGATCAGACTCTGTAGAATAAGCTTCTGAAGGAGGTTAACTTCTGAAGAAAGTCAACCTCTGAAGGATCAGAACATGAAGACTCAGACTCTGAACTTGGTCAAGGATCAGAACTTGAAGATCTCAAATTCTGAATGAAGTCTACTTCTAAAGACTCAAAACTTGAAGTAAGTCAAAGCTCAAGGATCAAGAAACTCCGATAGGTCACTATCAGACTCTAAAGACATTTTTTCTTCTGATCACGTGAAGACTTAGCAAAAAATTTCAAAAGACAGATGGAATGATACTGATAATTCCTCTTGTAGCAAAAGAGTTTTAAATGTCCCTTCAACTGTATTAATCATATCAGGAAGTTTTCCAACGTCTCTGATGATGCTTCTCTCGAGACTGCTTGTGCATGAAGTCTTATCCAACGACTCTTTTGTGTTTCTCTATAAAAGGAGCTAAAAACTTGGAGAAACTACAACATTGCGCCTTGACAAACAAAGAGTTATTACTCTGTCAAAACTATTGCACAAGCTTAAACTTAGAACTTCTTAACAATTGTATATTCTTAGAAGTTCTTAAGTATTAGAGTATTTTTTGTGTTGTATTTTGTTTACACCTATGATTGCATATCAAGTGTAAGTCTTAAACAATTCATAATCTGAAAGATAGGTTATTAGAAGTCTCTTGCTTGTTGCTTGAGAATATGAAGTCTCTTGCTTGCATGCTTGAGCATTGAAGTCTCTTACAAATGTTTAAGCATTTGGAAGTCTCTTGCTTTGTGTGCTTGAGCATTTGTAATCAGAAGTGATTATAGTGGAAATCCCTTGGAAGTGCAAGGGGGTTGGACTACTCCTATTTTGTGGAAGGAACCATGATAATTGCTTGTGTCTTTTTTCTCTCTTCTTTACCTCTGAACCTTTACTCCACTGCATAATTCATACTCTGACTCAAATTCTAACCTTTTGTTCAGAATCTGATAAGAGATTTTAAGATCAAAAGAAGAAAAATTTAACACAATTCAACCCTCCTTCTTGTGTTTTTTATCACCTTCTGTTGGCATCATAGCACGGCCTGTGCATCAACACTTAACAGTGGTACAGAAAAAATATTGAGAGAAAAATATGTCTGAAGGACATAAAACCAGTGGTCACACTCTCACTTCTACAAACAATGTTGTGCCCTTTGATTATAGTGCTTCTAAAAGGAAAATTTATACTTCTAACCTCCAACGTTCAGTGGAAATTCTACTTAGTTTGAATGGTGGAAAAGTAAAATATATACTCACATCATAGGTATTGATAATGAGTTATGGGATATTCTTAAAGATGGCATTGACATTGAAGTAGATAGAGTAGGTATGATGGCTGACAGAAAGTGTCTCACACTTGCTCAAGAAAATATATATAGAAAACACCATAGATTAAGAAGAATCCTGGTAGATGTTCTACCTCATTCTGAGTATCTTAAGATTCTCAACAAATCTACTAATAAAACCATTTTTTAGTCTTTTTGTGCCACTTATGAAGGAATTCAACAAGTTAAAGAGCCAAAGGCAAACTTTTTGGTCCAACAATATGAAATGTTCAAGATGAAGGAAGATGAAGACATTGAAACCATGTTCTCATGGTTTCAAGTTCTTGTATATGGACTTCAAGTGTTGAACAAGAGCTAAACAATAGTTGATCATGTTAAGAAGATTCTTAGGAGTCTTCCTGTCAAGTATAGACCTAAGGTGACTCCCATACAAGAAGCTAGAGATTTAAATAAGATAAGTCTGGAGAGTCTGATTAGAAATCTCCAGAGCCATGAGATGGAACTGATTTGAGACGAACATGTCAAGAAGTCAAAGTCTCTTGCTTTTAAGTCTATTGATGATTCTGCCAAATCTTCTCAAGTTTGGAAATCTAAAGAACATACTCATGAAGGAGGTTCTGAAGAAGATTCAGAAAGATGAAGAAATGACATTCATAATCAAGAGATTTAAATATGTAGCGAATAAGAAGAACAAAATATTCTCAAGAAGAGGCAATGGCTTTAGAGGGTCAAGCTCTAGAGTCAACAAAGATGACCAGAAGGGATGCTTCAACTGCAAGAAGCCTGGTCACTTTATTATTGATTGTCCAAAGTTGGAGAAGGACTAGCCAAAGAAATGAAGCTTTCAGAAGAACAACTTCAGAAACAAGGTCAAGAAGAGTCTCATGGCAACATGGATGAACTTGACAAAGAAAGAGAATCTGACAAAGATGAAAAAGAAGCCAATCTAGCTCAGGTGGCTTCAATATCTTCAGACACATAATATGACTCAGGTTATGCTTTAGGAAGAAGATGATGATGAGGTATTTTCTAAACTATCTCGTTCAGATTTAATTACTTTCATTCAAAACCTTATGTGTTGTTGTCGAGATAAATCTAGACATATGAAAATTATGAAAAGCATTATGATCTAATGAAAGAGGAATTGGATAGTTATAAAAATAATGTTGATGAATTATAAAGAGATCGTATTGCTTTAATAAATGATATGTTTGAAAAACCCCTTAGTGAGTAAGAAATGGCTCTTCAGAAGTTTATCATTTATGGATTTAACAAGACAAAAATTGATTCTATGATTTATAATATAATTAGAAGTAGAGGAGAAGCTCTTGGCTATTCTGAAAAGTCTTTTAATCCAAGTTCTGGTACCTAGACTAAACCAGCAGAACCTTGTTCTCCTGGTTCTTTTCTGTTGCACCCCAAAATTTCCTCTCTCATTTCTCAAGGAATCACCCTGGATCCTCAAATTTCCTCTCATCCAATTCCAAACCTTGAATTATCAATTTTTCCAAGCAAACCATTCATAAGGGCAAAATGGTCATTTGTACACTGAGAAGTCTAAACTTTGACTTTTGGATCAAAATTAAAACTCAAAAAACATATTTCATCAAGACATGTTGGAATATGAAATTTATTTCGTCCAGAATTTCAAAAGTCAAATTTTGCTTTGGAAAAGCCAAATTCTAAATACTTAGAAATTTTTCTATGTATTTAAGAAATATGACAATGTCAGAGCTTCTGGGCCAGTGTTCATACTCAGCAGATTCTGGATATTCTCAAGACAAAGTGTAGTCAGAACTTCTGGGCCAGTATCCACGAAGGTTCAGTCAGAGTTTGCAAGGGTTAAATCAAAGAAGGTAACAAAGTGTGTTGTAAGTATACTGAAAGTTCTGAAGGATCCCTCAGAACATGTTGAAGTCAAAAGATACAAAGATCAGAAGATGAGATGCTACGTTGAAGCAGAACTTCCAATCCAGAGTCAAGCAAAGGTGCAGAGTTTCACATGGGAACTCATTTAATGCTCACAACCGCCTATGAGTCTTTATCCAAGGGATTCACACCACGAGTACCCCTACTGCCTTGGGAAGACAAATTTATGTGCAAAAGTATGCTAGACCCACGCGCTGTCTCTACTTTTCATTAATTCACGCTGCCAAATCCAGCTGAGGCGTTGTTCACTGTGATCGGTGGAAATAGAACTGACTGTTTTTTAAGCTGGTTCGCGAAATGTCGCGGTAAGCAAGAGTCGCCACCGTCTTTTATGTTCTCCAATATGGAAAGGACAAAAGCACAGCAAAATTCCTTATTCGAGAATGTTTCTCGGTTCAGGAGGTAGATTTATAGAAAGTGAAGGTGTTAGCACCCTTTCTATCTGTGGTTATCCACGGGCTCTTAGGTACTTGCTCACTATGTTTTCAAAAACTGTTTGCTTTTCAAGTGTGTGTGGGTTTTGAAAAAGTTTCGTTTGAAAAATTTCTAAGTAACTCTTGTATCTGTCCTCAAGAGTGTATGAAAATTTTGTTTGAAAACTTTTTGAAAGTGTGAGTGCGAAAAGATGTTTTGTTTGTTTTGAGAGAGCAAGTACCCAGGAGAATCTACCTACTTTAAGGAATTAGGCTGTGTAAGAGTCCTTTAGATAGTGCTATCCCACCATTGAGAGGTAGGTAGCACCATCGTTGGAGTTATTTGGGTCAATTCGATTATAGGGACAGTGTGGTCACCAAAGCAATGGTAGGACATCTTAGTGGTAACCCTAATGTCCTAGATCCTTTTATCCGAGGCAACCGTTTCGAGGCAACTGGATCTTAGACAGGAGGGCAACCTCTAAAACACCCTATACTTGACGACCACGTTGAGGCAACCAGTGAGGCGTACCCTAGGAGTGGCATGTGCATGTGTGTTGTTTCAGTTTTTGTCTTGTACATGTTATTTGTGAGCTACGGATTGGTTTTATTTTTCATACATTCTTTCATGCATTTTTTTAACAGTTAGGAGTGCAGAAAATAAATTGCGGAAAGGTAAATCTAACTATTACAAGGCGCGGGTCTATACATCGCCAAAAAACAAAAACCCGTTTTGAAAATAAGAATGCGGGAAATAGTAAATAAAGATATAAACCTAATTAACTATTACATTTCCAGAAGCAGTTACATAAATAATCAAAATAATGAATTGAAACTAAAATGCGCGCGAAAGAATGAATCGGGATGTCCTGAGGGTTTTGACCCTTTTTTGCAATTAATTTAAAATTAAGCCTAATTACTAATTAATTAATTATTTATTAAAAGAAAAAAAATGTTTTTTGTATTTTTATGTTTTAATGAAATAAAATAAAAAGGAATTAAAAATGTCAAAAGAAAAGCCTAAGTCTAAATTTGTTTTTATTTATTGTAA